ATACAATCCACATTAATTTAGCACAACTTATTGCTTATAATACCCAAAGACACAACACATAAAAACTTACAGGACGCCCTTGCTAAATGTTAGTTATATAAACTTCCTAGAATATTTCTACCAAAATATTGAAGTTCGCTGCCTGAGTGATCCTAATACTAATAACAACAGGTTGTGTATCAGGCTTTAGATTTACCGTAAATGCTTGAATAAGCGCCACAGCTTCAGTGCAGCGCTTGTTCGAGAGCGGCGCTTATTCAAGAGGGCGTTTATTAAAAAAATATTGGTGTGGCACTTTCGATTGTTCCTATGTTACCTATCTCACGTCTTCCCATAGTTCGGTAGGCTTATCATAGACCCTACATCATCGTAAATTAACATTTATAAAGATGTTTTTGTCTTCATTGTGTTATTTCTTCATTTGAATGCTGTTTACATTGTATTTATTACCCTATTTCTTAAAGTGTTTCATTGCACACAGGCGCTTATTCACTCAAATAATTAAGCGCTGCGATGCTTATTCGAGAGCCGTACTTAGCGAAAAAAATCAAGTTTTGAGCATTTACGGCAATATTAACTTAAACTTATGGTGCCAAATCCAAATCTATAATAGTCAAAGGTACAGGAGCATTATGAACGCTGGACAAGACAAACTGTAAATGATATCTTCTTGGCTTCACACCCTACAAGGCACGTATTTATCATCCTGGGTAAAGTAAGACAAACGTAGGTAAAGTGCCTTGCCAAATACCAAATAAAAAAAATCACAGCAAGGATTCCAAACACTGACGTCGCAAATATCAACCACTGCGCCAACAGCTCCTACAAAAGCAATAACCTTTTGTAATCTTAATATCTTACTGATGACTAATAATGCATAAACATATATTTTTTTTCTTGTCTGTTTATCATTTATTTATTCTTTATTTAGACTGCGGGCAATTTCAGTTGTAATTTTCAAAGCGGTACATATCACATCAATTGGAAAGTGAATTATTTTCATGGGTTATGTTACTATTGACCTTTTGGCTTGGAGCATATTTGGTGCTATAAATATAGCCAACATTATTACCATTATTTTTATCATCTAAAATAGAAAAAATAATTCTGAATATGTACTGAGAATTTGAGAAATAAAACCAGATGAAATTCTTTCAAAATTATCATTTAATATTATTATTTTTTTTGTTTTTGAAGCACATAAAAGCTTTCGCATTATGCGCTATATAAGTAGAACTCATTATTATAATTATTATTATTATTATTATTATTTAAATGGAGAGAAAGAGAGCAAGATAGAGAAAAAAATAAAATTGGACAAAGAATATCAGCATATTATTGAAGTTAAGTTTTGTCTTTAAATTTGGAAGATCATTCCTACTGTTTAAATGTAGGAAGGTTCTTGTTTGACAACTATTCAAAGGCTGAAAAAAAACCAGATTGGCTCCTTGTAAACTTCAAGTGAAAATTAATATTAAAGATATAATGTGATTACAAAATAATATGGAGGAGCATACACCCTTTTAATCATGTTTGTGTCCTTGGAATTAATCGTTTGTTTCATCTTGAGCACATTAATTTTGCAATAGTCGGACACCAAAAAAAAAAAATAATTGAGACACTGCACTTGAGGAAAAAAAACCTACATTTACAATTAATAATCATTAATGAATTTATCTTTCTATTGCACAATATTGAGGTCTCTATTCACACAAAAAAAAATAATTGAGATAGTGAACCTGAGGAACAAAATCTAAATTTATATTAATAAATAACTTTAATGTCTTTATCTTCTTAATGCACAGTATTAAGGTCTCTATTCACTGGCAAATAAAAAAAACAAAAACATGAATGACAAAAAAAGTGACCATTTAAAGCCAGTATCCAAACCGCAGTACAGGAGATACACACCCTAATACTGGCCAGGAAACTATAAGAATGTACAGCCACAACCAGTAAAGTCTTGATCATTCAGGGTACGAGGCATGCAGTACATTTACAATATCAGATTACAAAAAATAAAAATCAACATTTATTTGTTGATGATCAAAAACACTAATCTTATTGCAAAAAAGGTCATTCCATAGAGTGGAACGCTTGGGTCTTCCATATTTGAAGCGAACATTAATTTTCATATAGCGATCGCGTGCCAACAAAAATATAGCACACAGAATTCATATCCAATTTATTCCACCCAAGGTTTCTTAATAAAAGGAACCAACAAAGCCCAGAGGCTAAATTATGATATATAGTTTAATGCAAAATTTAGAAATAAGGACGTGTAATTTAACAAAATGAACAAGTAATGAAGTCAAAGTCTTTAAAAGCGGCTTCAAAATTACCAAAACATTAATACACTGCAATACAATAACTTTGTTGAAACAGATTAATTTTTATTTTTTTATTTTATTTATTTATGTATATGGGCCAAGTATTAACAAAAGAGATTAACTAGTGACAATTCCTTTCACAAGCCTCATTATGAAGCTTAATAAGAAGCTCCACTTTTATTAAAAGATGAAAGAACTCAGCAGAAACCATAACGTTATTTTCTCTAGCTTATGTACAGACAGGGTTTCTTCATATGATTGAGAAGGTCCACTACATGACAAAAAGCTAGGGCGAGACTCTTTTTACACCTTGTTTAGCGAACTCGCCGAACGCAAATATTGATGATTTCAAATAAAATTATAATTTTATTTTTGGCCAATTAGCGCACCCGCCACCACCAAAAATGAAAATTTCAGAAAGAAAATATGTTTTTCTTTATTTTTATTACGTCCTCCGCTGCCTTGAAATTTCCAAAGATAAAATATGTATGTTTCTTCCTAATTATATAAATTTGAAGCATTTAACCATCCTATTTTACATTCACCAATCAAATTTTATTTTTATTTTCTCTGGGTGTTTTTGGCAAAACTATTTGCTAAATAAGAAAACAAAATTTTATTTTTATTTTTATTGTAATTATTTTTGATTGTGATTTTCTTGAATGTCTTTAACGCTGGAATTTTATAAACTATTTTTGTACTATATTTTGTATACTAAATTAAGAATTATACTGAGCTAATGATAATCTATTTTACCTGCAATTTTTTTCTCAATTTGTTTCTGTATATATTTGTTCCAAGTTAGGAAAATTAATATAATGATATTTTAAACTGAAATTTTTAGAATCTTACTGTTGATATTTTCTGTTTTTTTGTGTATCCGAGGAAACCAAATTTCAATTTTACTACTTGTACTATTGACAATAAAATTACTTTGAACTTTGAACTTTATTCCGCCCTCCTCCAATGATCTTTAAAAAAATAAGTACGTGAAACAAGGAATAAAAAAAAGTCACGCCTAGATAAAAAAAAAATGTATGGTCTCTCATCTTTCATAATTATTCAAAGGTATGACAACTCCAATTAATTATTTCTTTTACGTAGTACAGAACAATTATTAATTATGCTTATTTAATTTATTAATTAAAAAAAAAAGTAATTTTACTTTAATAAAATAATTGTTCATCTGGAAAAAAAAAAACAAAAAAAAAAAACAAACTAGTATGGTACATATTAACCTGCCCAGTTTTACAGAGATTTCAGCCCCTGTGAATCAGATCAATCCTAATTAACTATTGGAATAAACTCTAAAGAAAAAATGGGTATATTTTGTTTTCTTTCAGTGCTCCTGTACAACTTATACAAGGGTTCGAGTCCTAATGTGTCTCATTGAAGGTCAAGTTGTTGGCATGGAGGACTGTGACCAAAACAAACAACCACCAGATGAACAAGATTGCAACCCATCTGGTTGCTTAGGTAAATTTAACCTGCAATTTTTTTCTCAATTTGTTTCTGTATATATTTGTTCCTAGTTAAGAAAATTGATATAATGATATTTTAAACTGAAATTTTTAGAATCTTACTGTTGATATTTTCTGTTTTTTTGTGTATCCGAGGAAACCAAATTTCAATTTTACTACTTGTACTATTGACAATAAAATTACTTTGAACTTTGAACTTTATTCCGCCCTCCTTCAATGATCTTTAAAAAAATAAGTACGCGAAACAAGGAATAAAAAAAAGTCACGCCTAGATAATAAAAAAAATGTATGGTCTCTCATCTTTCATAATTATTTCAAAGGTATGACAACTACAATTAATTATTTCTTTTAAGTATTACAGAACAATTATTAATTATGCTTATTTAATTTATTAATTTAAAAAAAAAAGTAATTTTACTTTAATAAAATAATTGTTCATCTGGAAAAAAAACAAAAAAAAAAAAACCAATTTGCATAAACATTTAATTCTGGAAATTTTATATATAAAAAAAATTGTATTTAAATGTATTATAATATGTTTAAATATTGATATTTTTATGTCACTGGGAATGTAATTTGTTGCTTTTAATTTTAATTGAATCTTACAAAGAAATGTATGTATCTATGTATTTCATCTAAGTTTGCATAAAGAAAAATTGTATGAAAAATTATTACTGGAAATTTTATATTAAGAAACAGTCAAAAATTTGTATTTAAAAGTAATACTAAAAGAAAATTAATTTGTAAATATGTTTAAATATTAATATTGTTTAAGTCATTGGGAAAGTAATTTATTGCTTTTTAATTAAATCTTTCTGTAGTAATTATATTATTTATTATAAGATTATCCATACCTAACATCCAAATTTAATTTTAATCACGATATACATTCAAAATGCACACGTAGCCAAATACATAATGATTTAATTGTACCACCTTGGATTATCTGCCAAGGTAAGAGGACTTTCTTATATCGTGCCTCAAAAAGTTGGAATGAACTTTCAAACGAAACCAAAACTAACTTTAAAGAAATTACCTTAGTTTCATTCCAACATTCTATTAATTATTATTTATGTATTATCTTCTTTCTATTTCATGGTTTGTTTGTAACTGTACCACTTTGAAAATCAGTACTCAAGTACTGAAGGTGTATGCAGTCTAAAGAAAGAATAAATAATTAAAAATAAATAAATATCTAAGTTTTATTTTTATGTAAAGGTAATTCTGCTATGTATTACAAGACAATCCTTTCTGCGAATTACTGTATGTTTATAATTCATTTATTAATTTTTGAAAAGGTAATTCTACTCTAATAAAATGTTTGTTCATTTATATAAGAAAAATTGTACAAACAATTATTACTGGAAATTTTACATTTAACAAACAATCAAAATTTGTATTGATAAGTATTACTGTAAGAAAGTTAATTAATATATTTATTTACAACATGTTTTACCAGGAATACATTTCAGTAGCATAATCCAATATAGAATTACAGAGTTTTATGCACTGTTTTTCAAATGGTCCTGGAAACTTAATGAAAATATTTACAAAAACAATTTTTAACGACCTTGCGAAGAATGTGAGATTGATTTGAAGTAAAAAACTTTGATTTATATTGCGATTTGAAATTGGGGAATTTTGTAATTCAAGAGGGAGCAAGTTAATTAATCTCTTAATATGTTTAAATATTGATATTTTTATATCATTGGGAATTAAATTTTCATTCAAAAATATTCATTGTATTAAAAAGAAGTATTGGAAATGACATTTATTATACATTAAATTATAAATATGTTTGATTTTTTTTTTAAAGTGAAATTTAAATTTTTATTTATACTCTGTTTATTTTTGTGTGTGCCGCAATGCCTGTATATTTATATTAAATTACTCATTTTGTATCAGGTGGGATTTACATGTAATAAGCTTTGCTTCAGAAATTCCCTCCTTTCTTTATTTCTTTTAATTTAAATTTTAATATGTTAATATTGATATGTAATTTTTATTACCATGTAATAAAATGTTTATTATGTTACTGTATGTTTGAAGAAAGAACAAAGTAAAAAAGGAAATAAATACTAAATGAATGAATGAAATGAAAATGAACAACTAAGTATTGATACTGGTTGATATATTTGGAATAGTGAACATAAAAACAAAATGTAAAATTATTTTTTTACAGCTGAACCATACAACATAATACTAAAGGTATAAAGGATCGAATAAAACCAATATGTATGAGATGAAGAATAACAAGGGGGGAAATCTAAATCTGGCAGCAAGTTAAGAGTAGATGAATGATTACCAGAAACAGGATGAATATTACGGAGCTTTGCCTTGCCCAAGTGTTAAGTAGGCACAATGACAACAGGAAAATTGAACAAGTCGCCTTCTGACTGGGGACCCTAAAATAAGGAAGAACTATAAAAAAAGGAAAATTATTTGAACGTATTTGTGTGTGTTAAAGCAAAGACAAATTAAATAGAAAACATCCAATTCAGTCAGTCTAATCCCGGTGAGTCTAATAGGAAGGCTGATTGGAAAAAGGCTTCACTTAGAGGACAACAAAAGATTCAGAACAATCTCATATAAGTGAAATGGACAATTCTACTTCAAGAAGCCCTTGAACAACTAAAACAGAGATTAGTGAAGGTCAAAGTTTAAGTGAACGACAAAGCAGAATGCTAAGAAATCCATTTATATGTACACAGGAACCAAAAATATCTTTGATTGGACTAAGCTATACATACCAGTTTTCCTTTTGTATATTCATATTCTGTGCCATTCTTAGCAGATCCATCGCGCGTTTCATATAGTACTGAGACCGGTCCCTTTAAATAATCCTTGTTAGTTGAGTCGTCATCATTTGATGTACATGTATCTTCTGCTGCTTGGTATGTAACTGCTGAGCCATTCATGTGTATCTAGGAGTTACAAATAAAAAAATAAAAATTTGAGAATACAATATAAAACTTAATTAAAAATATTATTTAACTGTTTATTATTAGCTCACACATGTAGTTCTCACTCAAGGAGTCTAGAAAGGAGATGAGGTTTTTACCCCAAAGAGCAGGATAGGAGATGTGCTTCTCACCCAAAGAGACGGAAAGAGAAGTATGTGCTTCTCACCAAAAAAGCCTGGTTAAATGAAATGTTTTCAACAACAGAGCCTAGTATAAGGGATGAGGTTCTCACACAAGGAGTCTAGACGTATGAGGTTCTTACCTAAGGAAAACAGTTAAGTAGACAATGTTCTCACCCAAGGAGCCTAGTACATGAAAAGAGGTTTCCAACCAGAGCCTAGTAAATGAGATGGGGTTCACGGACCGAACAAAAAGGTAAGGTTCTTGCCTATACTTAGAACACAGGTATCATATTTTTTCATTAAAACCTGGAAAGGAGATGTGCTTCTCACCCAAAAAGCCAAGTAAGTGAGATGTTTTCAACCACAGAGCCTAGTTAAAGAGATGAGGTTCTCACACAAGGGGCCTCGGCAGGACTTGAGGTTCTTACCCAAGGAAGCTAAATAAGATGAATTGTTTACCCAAAAAGGTTTGGTAAAGGACATGAGGTTCTCACCCAAGGAGCCTGGTAAATGAGATGAGATTTTCAACCAAAGTCTAGTAAATGAGATGACGTTCACGGACCAAACAAAGAGGTAAGATTCTTGCCTACACTTAGAAAACAGGTATCATATTTTTTCATTAAAGTTAAGTAATTTATTACATTGCTAGCAGTCTACTTACCTGAGGACTGTTTAATGGTGATTTTATCCTGAAAGGAAATAAAAAAATGTAATTTTTAGAATGACTACAAAATTAATATAAATTATGCTATGTTTGGTAATGGAAATACATGAGGAAACCCAGTACTTAGGGAGATGTTGCCTAGCAACACATTTTATTTTTGTCCAATAATCTTCAGATAATATTGTCTGCACCTGTTATCAATTTTATGAACAAATTTAATGAATGAATGTTAATTTACTGCTAATTAACTTTCATTTTGAATTAGTGACGGATATACCAGTCATAATTATGAAAAAATCTTAAAAACTCAAATTACATATTTTAATCCTTTTAGTTAACTTCCAATGATAAACAGATAATAACAATTAAGAACATTACCGGTACATAAAAAATAAATTATTTTACAAAGAGAACACTTTTTAAAATTAATGAAAAATAATAATACATGCACAAAAAACTGGAATTCCAGTTTATGTTTTTATATAATTATGAATATTCCACATTTTTATCCTTTAACTTCCAACGATACACAGGTAATAACAAGTAAGAGAATTAAATAAGTTAAATATTTTACAAAGAGAAAACTTTTGAAAATTAAAAATTAAAAAAAATATATTAATATATGCACAAAAAAAACTCCTGGAACTCTAGTATTATGTTTTTACATTATTATGAATATTTGTTTATTAAAATTTTAACAGATATTCTGTACCTACGGTAATACTGCGGTACAATGAAACCCTGATTTTACATACAGCACAGGACCAAAAACTGTATGTATTTGCAACATTTATAAAATTGAGGTCAGGTCAAATTAATACTTACCTTAAACATTTGCAGTATTGGCTATTCCAATTATCGATAATACATTAATGTAATGACATACCGTCAATGCACTTTAAAGTTGTTACACGATCAAGTCTCACCGACACAGCAATATCATTAACAAATATTAGTTAGATTGATTTTCGATGACAAAACAATTTTTTTTATAAGTATTATACTAAAAATAACAAAAACTTAAATTTAATCTCACTGATATACTGAACATAAAAAAAAATTACTGCATATTAAATTGTATGTACAAAACATTTGTATGTGAAGACTACATGTGAAAATTTATCTGAATTACCCTGATTAAGAAGCGTGCCGCATATTATAGCGGAATCACAAAGGCTGTTTTGTTGTTCACAAATGCTATAACCAGACACATGTAATTGTGTCGCATTGACTAAATTCAATCACCATAATCGAGAAAGGAGCTCCTCTTTCGGTGGGTTTATTGGTTAACAACAATTCTTAGAAATAACCTGGCAAAAAGCAGATGGACTATGAATTTCCCTGCTTCCTTGTCTCAAAATTATGATAGTTATGACACTAGAAATAGAATGCACAAAAAAAATATTTAAATCTGCACAAAAGTTAATATATTGCAAAAAATATTGGTATGGAATTACATTTTTGTGAACATATTTTACCGCACTGTCAAACTACCATTAAAGAAGGGTGGGATCCCCCTCCCCTGGAAAAACTTTGCACACCCCAAAGGTAATTCCACTCCTACTGAAAATTTGCTGAGCTCTTGCTCACTTAATACTAAAGCCCCCCTAACTCCGTCTACTTAAATCTGTCAATGTTCCTAGATGCGCCACTGAAGAAGGGCGTGTGTACTCAGTCGCGGTATTACAAAGGCTGATCACTGCAGGGTTTATAATTGTGCTTCGTTTTTACCTCATAATAATCATGTCATATCATAATCAACTACAGCTAGTTAGTATATAAATGTTTTGAGTCCTTAAATATTAAATTTAATTTTTCAGCTAAACCACAGAGTATGATAACATCACTTTACTATTATTAATATCACTATATTATATATACATATAAATCATAATTAATTTAATTTTGTAAAAATTCATAAGAAAAGATGGTGACATTATCAGAATGGCAGGCAATATCTCAGCTCCGGAAATTATCTGCTGATTTATGATACTAGAAAATATATGAATCTATAAACTTCCTCAATTAATGTAGTGTATATTACAGCTACCAAATAGACGAGACATAATTGTGTACACGGATCTAATAGACATCTATTGTGTTCTAAAAGTAAACTTAATGTTGCCATAGAAACATTGTATATTCAATATAAGCTTATAGGTCACTGTAGTTTTTGGCTCAACAAGGCAACTAAATTTAGATTCTATTGTAAACACACTGGTCATTATTTTTAATACACTCCTTGTTATATCTCATGATTTTAGAGGTAATGATGTTAGAAAAGGATCAATACATATCATATAATTAAAATAATACACTCAATGAAAAAATTGGAGACACAAGACTGCGTAGGAGCCATGATTATTTTTATGATTGTATATTGGAAAAGATGTAGGCCTTGTTGAAAGCAGCATTTAATAAATATGTGTTGGTTTATCATGATTGTAATTCAAAATAGCAATTAACTCAATACAGTACCATTTTTATTATTTATTCTGTTATTTTTGTAATTACTGTTCCTGACGTACTATATTACCATTACATAGTTTTTGTAATATAGAGTAATCATCATTATTATCTTTGCTCATTGAAGATACAAATTGACTATATTTATTATAGTTATCTGTTATATGAAAGAAAGCGCCCAGGGGTAAGATCTGCACATATACTGTACCTTACTACGTCTAAGTAGTCACCTTGACAGCGAGAGGTTGCAGGTTCGCATCCCAATAGAGACACTTTTTTCATACAACTGAATTAAAAAACTTTTCGTTGAATGGCTACGTTCAATACGTTTGAAACAACTGTGTTATTATTATTTATCTATTTGTATATGTATTTATTATATGTACACAGAAATAATTGAAAAAATAAAATAAAAACCAACAACATTATTGCACATATTTTTTTTTGTGTTTGTGTCAAATTAATAACAAATACACACCAATAAGAGCAACAATAACCCTCTATACACATATTGATGCCTATTATTGCCATGGAAACAGTAAACAATCACACAGAAATAAAAAAAAGAATAAAAGGATTATATTTTAACATTGTTTTAAAAATATTGTGTGTTGCCATAATAAAGAGAAATAATGCATTATACATTCTATTTCATCAAGAATTGTTTTGTACTGTAAATATCTTTTCCATTGGTGTGAAAAAAAGCAAAAAATAATGTAATGCATAAATGAAGATGCTTAATCGAGTGATCTACATAGAAATGACTTTATACGGCAGAGCGCCTGTCTTGCAAAGTGCTTGTACACACTCTCAATAGTAGAATATCACTGGTAATATCCCCCACAGGACAAATCCTATGCAAGTTTTTACTCGACAAACAGATTAAGCGAGTTATAGCAGATGACTACTTCTATAAATTGTAACTGAAATATTATGATGTTTCAGATATGTAGGCTTGCCAGGCTTGAGTATAGTTCATTTAGGAGTTTTTGCTAAAAGCATTTTTAGTATATTCACTGATCCTTGGATCTCTGTGGCTTACGTATTAAAAATTCTATCACAGACCATGGTAATACTATCCAAGAGTAGGAAGAAGCAATGACATAGGTTGAAAATACCCCAACCTGTATGTTGCCATCTCATTAAGCCAAGACAGATGCATCAAATTTATAATTAGAAACACATCTAGAAATATGATTTAACGTGTTGAATTGACCATGAATTCACTTCAAGTAAGAAAGTATGTTGTGACAAAAGTAATCTAATTGCGGGTCATACTGTCCTAGTACGAAGCCTAGGCCAGGCCTGTAGAGGCCTAAGCTAGATAGGCTGGATAGAGCCTGACAAAGTATCCTTCTTATTGTGACAAAAATAATCTAAAAGTATACAACATACTGTACTTTAGGTCTTTTTCACTTTTGAATTAAAAATGTTGGCATTATGTATAAATGGCTCAACAGCATAGAAAGATCTATTAATAATGTATTGATTCTTATACTCCATTTTAAAGTTTGCGCAATAATAAAGCGCCACTCTGGAATAAGCCCCGCTCTCGAATAAGAGTGCACCAAACATACTTTTTGATAGGCACTGCTACTGAATATTTTTTCCGTTTATTACAGATTTATTCTATTTTGAATAAATGTTGCATTGCTAATAATTTTTAACTCATAACTCCGTGGCGGATCCAAGAATTTGGAACAGAGGGAGTGAGAGTGCGAGGTTCACAGATGGAGGGTCTATACTACTTCAGCTCCACCATGGGTGGGGCTGAGGTAAACAAATTTATGATTATGGCACCTCTAGATGCCGGAAATGGCACTCTCTAAATTCAAATTTAAATTTGAATATAATTTTCATTTTTTTTTTTTTATTTTGACAAATTTAGGGGGGAGGGGAGAGGAGGCCTGGATCCACCACTGTAACTGGCAATGATATCACGTATACTGTAGGACATGATGGCAGCTTTCGACAAGACAGCCAAGGTTTCAGCTAATTCCTTTCTTTTGTCTTTTGTTGCAGTTCTATATTCAAAATAAATAAAACTAGAAAATCAATTGCTAAGTGCTCAGTCTTCTTTAATGTAATAGTTTAAATAACCACTGCAGAAAATTGTTGACCTTGCATATGTAAATTTTTGCATCATGGCTACTAAGTAATTTTGCATTCTCTCTCTAAGTACACTGTTATCATTCAAGGGAAATTGTGATAAATAAGCGCTCAGAAGAAGCAATTTTTGTCTGAACTTGATACTGGCTTCATGATGGTCATGTAAAAATGGAAGGAATTAATTGATGCCGAGTCGTGTACAGTATATTGACAGAGACATGGTTGATGGCCACATTCCTGAAACTCAGTCACCTGATAATGTTGCCATGAAAATGCATGACAGGTGATCAATAAATATTAATACTGATCAATTACAATAATCACCATCTATAAGATCACACTATATAATCTTAAACAATTGAACGAGTTGCATTTATCATCAGCAGGGTGCTCAATGGTAATTATACCAGACCAGAGGTCTGGTATAATAATATAAGAGGTTCAACAGTA